CAATATTTTATAACACATCAGAAATTCATCTGGTTATTTCTGATAAATTCTCTTAAACTCCAATTTAGGAATGGAGGAGAAGATGTACCATTGCTAGGTTTTTCTATTTCTTGCATCATCCAGCAGGAAAAGGGATCTTAAAAAATGGAAGCTCATACAATATTTTGTGACATTTTAATTGATCCTAATAAATATTGCACTGTTGATTTTCATTTCCCCCCCCCCTTGTGATTCAACTTGTCCTCTTGTACTTTTCCATCTGCACCCATTCCTTTGATATATATGTCAGATAACATAACTCTTGGGTTATAGTTCAATTAAAACAATAATTTTGCAAGTTATCTCTAAAAATAATAATGGATACCTCTAAAAATTGATATCAATGGCAAAATATTCATTAATTTATCTATATTCCATTGGTTAATATATTAAATGCATTAGTAATGCATTAGTAATGTTATTAATGATACAGCAGTAAGGAAGTACTAAATATCACTCTGAATGATATCCCCTCAATATAAATGCTTCAAGGCAATCTTTCTTTACCACAAATTATTATTCCATTTTGACCTAATGCCAAATAGTTTCTTCAAGATAAGAAAGAAACAAGAGCTAGGTTTTAACACGTCATTAAGTTCAGTTTTCCATGGAAAACAGAAAGCCCCAAATTTTAATGTTTTGTTTGACACTTTATTGTTTACCATCAATACAATTGCCACCTGACAGCTTTGTAATTATGTGGGTTAATCAAACTGTATCACTGTTTAAGGATTGTGCACTTCTTTATCTGGACAGTTTTATGAGAAACCAATTGAAAAGGGAACAATCTAGCAAAGGTCACACACTCTAAAATGTATATGTGATATCAGTATATGCTTGCATTTCCCATATAAGTCAAGAATATTAAAACATAAAAAATACTAGGAATGAAAATATTTCTTGTTGAGTTAGAAATGAAAAGTCCTTTATCTCATATATGAGAATAAGAAACAATTTTTAAAAACTAAAAGAGAAAGGAAATCCTTTTTCTATTATTTTCTAACACTAAATATATAAATTAATAATTACAAATTTTAAAAATGTTGCTATGAGAAAGCCTTTCCAAACCAGTTTCATGCTTTACTATATTATAGATAAATCACAATTTTTTTTATTTTAGATTTTTAAAAAAATCTTACATTTATTATTTTTATAAGTAAGGCAGCAAACATATATACTGCTTCTTCTCCATCCTATATATACTGTTTCTTCTCCATCCTATTTTCACAAGTCGGTCCAAATCTTAATTTTAGTTTGTCTCATTTCTACATCAGTTCAACTTTGCTTTAAAAGTTGTTCAATTCTTTGTATACATATTTCTTAAAGCATTATTTTTAACATAATCTCACTTAATGTACATTCTGCATGCAATTTCCAGTAATATAAAGCTTTTTGTTATTTTCTCTAATAAGCATACTGTTGCCCTCATCTTCACCTAAAATTTGAAATATAGCTGAATTTTGGTTTGAAAGCACATTTTTCATGTTTAAATTAACATTTAAATTAAACACTTTCTTCCCATCGATAGCAAATGATGTCTTGAACATTTTATTCAAGTGATAGTTATTTTGGCATCTGAGGCAGAAACTCCTAGAAGCAATTCTACTCTTCTGTCATAAAAAAATGTGCTGCATATACATCTTAAATTTATTCAGATATGTTGCCCCAAAAAACAGCTTCACTTTGCATTTTTTCCCTTTATGCTTTGGATAAAAACCAATAAATAGATGAACATAAAACTATTTTTATAGTTAATATTATAAAAGATAATATTATATAGTTATATAGTTAATATTATAAAATAAAAGAGCCTGTAGTACAGTGGACTAAAGCACTGTTATTAACATCTGCTCCTTGCAATTACTGCAAGTTCAAATCTTACCAGGCTCAAGGTTGACTCAGCCTTCCATCCTTTCAAAGGTAGGTGAAATGAGGACCCAGATTGTGGCGGCAATAAGCTGACTTTGTATAAATATACAAAAGTATGAAGTCTATTGCTTAACGCATTGTAAGCCGCCCTGAGTCTCTGGAGAAGGGAGGCATATAAATTAAAGCAAATATATATAGATAGATAGATAGATAGATAGATAGATAGATAGATAGATAGATAGATATAGAGATATAGATATAGATATAGATATAGATATAGATAGATAGATATAGATAAAATATAGATATAGATATAGATAATTAGTAATAGTTCTTTACATTTACATTTTTATACTATTTTTCATCAGTGTATAAAACTGAAAAACCATAAAATAATATTTTATTTTATGCCTACTATTTTCTATATTAAATGTTATTGTTTTATCTTAAAATATTTTAATCATTTCATTATCTCCTAAAACATTTGAATAATGGAGGAAGGATCTAGAAATACAAATAAAAATATTTTTTTAGAATTAAAAATTACAATAGGAATAAATATGGTAGTATAAATAGGAATAATATCAATGAGAAGCGGTAAGAATGAAACACAAATGAAGAAAAAAGTAAGTAGGCACAGAGACAAATCAAATATGCAATGTTAAACATTCTAACTGAAAATAAACGAATCATGCAAATAGTTTTGTGATATAAATATAGGTGATCACAAATATTGCAAACAGAATTTTAAAAAGAAATATAGAATATGGCCAAACACTGGCATATTCTGTATTTCTTGTGCCAGACCTCTCTTTCAGTTCCATAGCCAAGAATCTACATATGATGGAATGCATTAAATGGTATATGAGTAACAGAGCATCTTCCTTCTCAAATGACATGGTAATTCACACCATTCTGAACATCACTTCGTTTCTGCTTTAAAAACAACAACAGCGAAGAAAATAATACTAGTATCTGACAGTAGAAAGGAAATGTTCTAATTAGTACTGGATAAAAATATAATGTGGAAAAAAAAGAATTGTGGGCCATGACTCTAAACAACATTCCCACTGACATCAACTATTGCTGTGTATGAAAATAAAAACTACTCTGAGTCTAATCCAGAACTATAGCAAGTCTTTTCAGAGGTGATATTTGTTGCAGTGCATATGATGCAGCTTACTAAAATAAAATGACAATGGTTAGTTAGATGTTAATCTTATGAAATCTGTTTATCTGACTTCATAACATTGTCACATTTCTTTTGTGGGTCCCAAAGAATCTTATGTTGTTTCTAATAATTGCTTTTTTTTCTTTTCATTGCTATTTTAGTAGTTTTGGTGTAGTTTTTCTTACAAATAACATCATGCCAAACATTTCTTCTGCATTTTTCTGCAATTTTTTTGCCTTGCAATTGGAAGAAAATATTGTTAAACACTGAACCATGCTGTGGATTCAGTCAGCTCTTTTTCAAATTAAAGGGGCATTTTTAAAACCAATAGAAAAAAGTATCTTCCTAGCAGCAAGAACACAATGTGAGTCAATAAATATCACAAGTGTTCTGATCCTGGAATAAGTATTATGAGTCAGATTCAAATGAAGAGAGTGCTATAAATTAGGGCATGGAGGAATAACAACAATAAAAATCCTCTCATCAATTAATTCTGCCAAGTGAATGAGTGGTTTAAACATTTAAGGATAAGACAACTAGTGCAATTAAGGTATTTTAAACATTCTCTGCTATGTTCAAAGATGTGACAAAAAGAAAACAATTGGGAAATCATGATCAGAAAAAAAAGATCAAAATTACTTTATTGTTTATGTATTTGTTTAACAAATGGCAGACTATTGAAAAAATGATATGTGCATGCTTGCAACTCTAAGAGTGCCAAAAATTTCCTCTCTATGGTTCCATCCTAAGTAAATCAGCCCTACCTCAGTGGCGTACAATCTGATGCCCAGGGTCATACAGAAATCTTTCAGTGTAGCCCTCAAAAACTCCTCATACTGTTACCAAATTGAAATGTTTACTGTGACAGCAGGAGGATGTTATTAAATATATCACCAAAAGTTAACAGTAACTAAATTGATATGTAGTCAAATGCAAAATCAAATCAAATTTAGGTTTTGCTCTGCTTACTACTTTTGACAATATGACTTTGGGAGCACCATCTGAAGGACAACTGAAGTTCAGGGTTCATATAAGGTTCTGTCAATATGTTACAGTATATCTGAAGCACAATTGAGTGTTGAAGTCAGGCGACAGAATTTTTCCAGGAGTAACTATAAGGTGTGGTCAAAAGATAATGGCCATAATGGTATGATCAAAACTTCATCGTATTTTTTTTATTTGTCATATGTCAGAATCCCCCAAAGCAGGGATGGAGAGCAGATCAACCCTGCTAGGCAACAGGTAGACTAAAGTTTATAGTCTCTGGCTACATTCCCAAATTGATATTTCTCTTGGGTTCAGATGAGGCATGCTCTTCTCGCATGTTTCTCTCTGGGATACTAATCTGGCCTGTCATTTTCCACATTTGCTTTTAAGTGGCATTTGCCTGTTTTCATTTTCTGCATTCCTGTTACTAACAAAAACCTGGTATTAAGCATGCGTATGAACATCCTGTTTTCCACTGTGCAAAAATATTTTCAACTGTCTGAAACCTTCTTAGTTTCTTACACTTCAATTGCAATGCAAGAGAAGACAACCTGGTAGTCATCCATGGTGCTTGGATCAAGAAAGCTAGGAAAAATGCTGTTTGTATGGGAGGTTGCAGGTGCAACAGAAACACTTTCAGCAGCAATAAAATATCTTTGATAACAAAATTTAGAGATATTTAAATGAGATGGAACAACAAAACTTATTTTCTAGGGGAAGGAACCTTTGAAGAAAATAGAAGTTAATTGTTGACATATATTTAATGTATTATGTAATACATTGGAACACATTTGCTCAAATTGGCTTAGTTTGGCTTGTTAAATTCACACACGTGACAGCAATCTGGTCAAAATAAGAAAGGACCACATGAGACTGACTAAAATAATGTCAGGGCACAGGGATTTTTTTTAAAAAAAGAAAAATTAATACATACATTGAGCTGTCACCTTGTACCCGCCTAGAGGAGGTTCATGTCCTTCCACAACATCAAAGCCAGCTGATACTAATACAAAGTCAGGGTTGAACTCAGAGGTGATTGGCATAATCACTGTCCTGAAGATAAAACAAGCAAGCAGTTAGGTTATTTTATTGAACCTATCAATTAGAACAATACTACAATTATACATTAGCTACATGTTATATGACCATTTCTATGATCAAATCTCTTTCTCTCTCTCTCTCCCACCCTCCCTCCCTCTCTCTCTCTGTCCACGTCCCTCCCACCCTCTCTCTCTTATTCTGCCCTTTCTAAGAATTTTTAAAAGAGAAAAAGAATGATTTCCAGGTATATGTGAGAGCATCTAACATTACACGCACATCTGGGCCTATTTTATTCTATTGGCTATAAAGATTGATTCTTAAGGGAAGTGACTAATGGATTACAAGGAGAACTCTGAAGACTTAGTGGAAACCAAGATTGCTCCAGGTAGTGAGAACTTGGTGTAAATTGGAACTATAAAACTCTTGGGGGGGGGGGGAAATGCTTGCATTTCAAGCTTCTCCCCCTTCTGTTTTTCATGTTTTAAAAGTATGAAGCGGGGTGACTATCTTAGTAAGTAAAGAAAGAAAAAAGGGGAGAACCTAAAATCATGTAATCAAAGCCAGGCAAGATTGTCAGAATTTTTCCAAGGTCATGCCTTGCAGGAATTTGACAACCACAACCCAATAACAACACCCCCTGCTGGTTTTAGGAAGACGTTTTCATGGTTTCTACATTTAGTGAATTTATTAACCCTTCCCTTTCAGTGTTTTTTATATTAAGGGTTGGATGCGATACTCTATTTATCTGTGTACAATTTCTACTCTCTACAAGTGGAATATCTAATATCTCAGAAAGTGTATTTAAAACAACAGGGTTTTGTTGTGTAAACTGAAGTTTCACTAGGGTTTCATTTAATGCTATATCAAAGAATGACTTTGATTTACTATAAATGTTTTAATATTTCTTCTTATTTGTAGAAGACATTGTTGAGAATTTGGCTCTTAACATTTTCACAACAGCAACAAGAACATATAAGTCATTTGTTACCATTTGCTTTATGTGTGTGTGTGTCTGTGTGTGTGTGTGTTTATATAAAATTTGTGTGTGTGTAAGTGTAGTTGCAATTAATCTATTTTCAATATTTTTGATCTGATATATATTATGTTTCTTTACATTTTTATTCTTTTAAAATTATGAACAGGAACACCTTATCCCATCCATCCATCTAATAGCTTTTGTATTACTTCATCAAAGCTATTCTGGAACTGCTTCCTTCTTTCAAAGCAAATAAACTAATAACCCTCTAGCATGTTCTTGGAAATCTGATAAGACACACACACATACACTCACACAGAGAGAGGGGGGAAGAGAAGGGGGGGGGGGGAGAGAGAGAGAGAGAGAGAGAGAGAGAGAGAGAGAGAGAGAGAGAGACAACCTTTCCAATGAATATGATTAAAGAATCCAGTCTAGATAATGTTGTTATCTAGAAAATAGTTATGGGATGATTTCCAGCAAAAAAACAACATTTATTGATTTATTCAATAAAGTGTTTCCTTCCTATTTCAGACTGTTATTTCTTGAAGATTTATTTTTTTCAAATTATATTTAAGAGAGAAGTTCAACCCATTGCCCTTCCTTAATAGATTAGGCTGAAAGCCAGTGATTTGCATCAAGCTCTTGTTTGGTTTACAAACGGGATTTCTAAAACTAGCCTGACACTTCAAATACTGTAACTACACTTATTCTACATATGTGTGAACGCACATGCATGCGCACACAAACACACACATGTGTGCCCACACAAACACACACAATGGCTTCCCAGGAACAGTTTAAATTGTGATAAAATATATCAGTATAAAGTAATAAATCAGCCTCCTTTCCAAGATATAACTATGTAACTCTAACTAACTGCCTTTATTTCAATCTATTGCCACCTGCACTTTGAGCAGTAGTGGTGAGTCCAGGAGGACCCCCAAGTTGCCCATTGGGTATGTCTAGGGTAATGCAACCCCATCCAGAGCTAACAATGATAAACAACAGATCCTGAGCTCCTCCCCACCCTCAGCTACTCTGGCTTGCTTGGGTTCAACTCAAGCCTATAGTCCCCTGTCCAGATTCCTACAGCTCCTAGGCTCACCAGGGATGGAGATGTAAACTGTGCATTATCAGCACACTAATGATATCTCATACCATGATGTCAGGTGATCACCAAGAGGTTTCATGTAGATGTTAAAAAGAAGCAGAGAATGTACCTAGCCCTGTGGCATCCCACAAGAGTGGCTGTGGGCTGGGTTTATTGATCCCTATTAATACTGATTGGGACTGATCTTAAAGAAAGGAGCTGAACCAGTGCAATACTGTACCACCCAACACCAAACTCCTGTAGCCGGTCCAAAAGGATACATGGTCGATGGTATTGAAAGTTGCTGTGGGATCAAGGAGAGCAAGGATAGTTATACTATCTCCATCCTTCCCTCATCAGAGCTAATCCATAAGCATGACCAATGCTGCTTCTATCCCATAACCCAGCCTGAAACTGGGTGCAAAAAAGCAACCACTTTTTCCACCACCTTCCCTAGAAAAGGGAAGTGGGACACTAGATGAAAATTGTTCAGACAACTTTCAAGGTTTCTTTTTTTGGGGGGGGGGGAGAAATACCGTTTATTTACAAGTAGAAACATTATTTAAAATGACCTGGATTTCCTTAAATGGTACCAGAAACACCCCCTCCTGCAGCAATGACCTATCTACATGTCGCCATACTCAAGGTTTTCACTAGTCAGGAGGGGCAAGGATCTAATAAGAAAATAATTGATTTAACAACCCCACTTCTGTCCCTCCAACAGCCTCTAACTGTTCCAAATAATCTGGCAAGTCCGTTCCCCAAGCATCTCCAATGGACTATGCTTAGATTTAAATCGAGAATGGATCCTAGTGATTTTATCTGTCAGATATTCAGAAAATTCAGGGCCTCTATAAACCATGGGGAGTTCCAGACTGATGGACCAAGAAACGTGCACAAACATTATCTTGTTCAGGGCCTTGGCAGCTTTCTGATTCCACATTGTGGCCAAAGCCTCCATAGAGCTCTGCAACAGAACCCCCAGGTTATCCCTCAGCTCTTTCTGAAATGGGTCCATTAGTCATCAAGGGCAGACCATTCAAATAGATCCTGCCTCCTGGAAGTACTAGAAAATCTCATAACCACCAGGGCATGACCATGACAGAGGGATAATGACATATACTTTCATGTGGCTAGCATTTTTTTTTTGGTTTTATTATTTCATAACTATATTAGATAGTACATCCTTGTTGTTCTTTGCTTTTTTCACATGGAAAGAGTTTGGAAGTTGCCTCATAGATTGATTCTTTTGAACTCATAGCTTCTAAGAAGAATTGATGATTGCAGATTTTGTTTTCTTCTATGTAAGGCAAAAGAAAAAAACAAATAAAAAAAGCAGAAAATAATAAAATAGACATTTATTTCCACGTACAAAGGAATGTCACTAATCTAGAACAGGAACATGTTGACACCAGAAAGATTATACATGGCAGTGACATCCAGCAATATTGTCCTTCCTGAGTCTCAGTGGTATTACAAATATCTCTGTGAAACTATGACACATTTTTCTCAAAATAAAAACATTATTTTTCCCAAAAGGAACCAGTTTGAAAAGTCATCGGGACACAATGCACTAGCCAAAAACAGACCAAGATTACAAAATGCTGTAGTCCAAGTGCCAGTAAAGAAATATGATAGTAATTGCAGACATGAACATTTTGGAAATGAAGCACATAGTTCTCAGTGATAAGCTCCCACTCCCAGTCTTTGCTGTCATTGATGGAACAGTTGAATATAGTTATTATATGTGTTTTCAGTTATAAGTACAACCTCCATTTGATAACTGTACATCACTCAATATTTATAAGATTGCTCAATACTTGTAATGAAAAATTGCTTGGGGATGTTAAAAGATTATAAAATAGAGGATATATATGTCTCCAATATATATATATCCAATATTCTGTAGTATCCAACCAGTTTTCTCAGTGGAAAAGAGATATTTTTGGCTTTTTCCTAAATGCTGAGATGTTTAGGGGTAACTCACTTCTGGACCTGAAAGCCACAAGTGAACGCTTTCTCCTGTATACTAGACAACTAAGCTTCTTGATGTCTCCTGAAAGACATCTGATGATCTAAAAATAATGAAACATGTTCACAGAATAAACAGTATAAGCAAGTCCTAAGACATTATGTTGGCAGGTTCAGTGTACTTGAAATATAAGGCAGAAGAATATATGTATTTTGTGGACAATCTTATTAATTTCTGAGAAATACATAGGCATACATTAATAGAAGCTAAAACCATATGTCTGAAGACTGACATATGTGTATCTAGCAAACAATATTTTGTTCAATCAGATCAAGAACTCATTTTGTGCAAAATAGGGTCACAGAAGATGTTTATGATTATTTATCCCACCATTTTATATATAACTCAAAGCAATAAATGTGCCTTATGTTCCTGCCAGCAATTTTCCCCACAAATCTGTGAGATGGTTTGGCTGAAAGAGAATGACTGGTCAAAAGACATCTGACCATCTTTCATGCCTAATGGAGGCCTAGAATTTACAGTCTCCAGGTTTCTAGGCAAACACATGACCCATTGCATCAAACTGGATCTTTGAAGGTGAATGGATTTGAATAGTTACAAAGATGGCAAAAGGGAAGCCCTTCTCTACCACTGTACCCACCTGGTGGCATTTAAAACATTGTTGCCTATAATTCCATAGATAGTAAACATCTATCCCAAGACTGTCAAACTCGCACTGGCCACACCCATGCCTGGTTTAGTGAAGGGGGGGAAAAGTCATGATACGTCATGTGACAACGCTGTGATGATACAAGTTTGACACCCCTGATCTATCCAAAACGATAGCCTTTTGTGAATTTGCTAAGTTCCTTTTTAAAAACATCTAAATTGGTGACCATTGCTAGTGCAATTTGTTATTTGTTATGATTCATCATTCTTAATCCCGTAAAAAAATGTAAAAAATAGGCTATGTT